CCTGTGGGGTCACAGTGTCACCCATAGGGTCACAGTGTCACCTGTGGTGTCTCAGAGTCACTCATGGGGTCTCAGAGTCACCCACAGGGTCACAGTGTCACTCATGGGGTCACAGTGTCACTCATGGGGTCACAGTGTCACCCCCGGGGTCTCAGTGTCACCCACAGGGTCTCAGTGTCACCCACAGGGTCACAATGCCACCCACGGGTGCAGGGACACCCCGAGTTGTCCCCAGGGCCGTGCTGGTGGCCGCAGTGTCACCCTCGGGCTCGGGGTGACGCGACTCGTGTCCCTGGTGGCACTTTGGGGACGAGGGGACAAACCGTGTCCTCAGTGGGGCCTGTCCTTGTCCCCGCCGGTGTCACTGTGGGGACTGTCCTCGTCCTTGTCACCACGAGTGTCACCTCAGGGGCCACAGGGCCCTGTCCGTGTCCCCGTTGTCACCTCAGGTGCCACCTGTCCTTGTCCTTGCTGGTGTCACCTCATGAGCCACATCCGTGTCTTCGTTGTCCTCGTTGTCACCGCAGGTGCCACCTGTCCTTGTCCCTAAGGTGTCACCTCATGGGGACCTGTCCTTGTCCTCGTTGTCACAGCAGGTGCCACCCGTCCTTGTCCTCGAGGTGTCACCTCATGAGCCACATCCGTGTCCTCGTTGTCACAGCAGGTGCCACCCGTCCTTGCCCTCGCTGGTGTCACCTCATGGGCCGTGGGGACCCCTCTGTGTCCTTGTCCTTGTCCCCACAGGTGCCACCTTGTCCTCGTTGTCACTGGTGCCACCTCAGGTGCCACCTCTCCATGTCCTTGATGGTGTCACCTCATGGGGACCTGTCCTTGTCCTCGTTGTCATCGGTGCCACCTCAGGTGCCACCCACCTCTCCTTGCCCCCGTTGTCACCTCAGGTGCCACCATCCTTGTCCTCACTGGTGTCCCCTCAAGGGCCACATCTGTGTCCTCGTTGTCCCCATTGTCACCTCAGGTGCCACCTGTCCTTGTCCTCGAGGTGTCACCTCATGGGGACC